ATCCAAAGCGGTTGATTGTGAGGAAAAGAAGGGACCTGAATTACATTCGGTATAGATAAATACTGTGTCAAAGTTGCTTACCACGCCATACACTGTTGAGCTTTACATCCAAAGACCGGAGCTCCTCCTGTAGATAGATACGGAAGTATCGATGACAATAATTAGGGTAACGCTGCGCAGCGCCAACCCCCTGTAATCCTGCATTTCCAACCTTTGGACGTACACAGACAAACTAATTCGTATTTAAGATTAATGCCTTTTTCGGTCATAACATGGCACCGCGACACACAAACATCCCGTTTACGTTATATTGCAATATCGATCGAATCTACTTGGGTTGAACTAGATGGACGCATTCCCTAATACATTGGCTTTTCTGAAAAGTTACTGAAGTAGTTGGACTAGAGGAATTTCTGAACCAAAACGCCGAAGCTTTTCGGAGAAGTTTGGGAAGCTAACAACCTTCAAGCTACAATAAGACTGAAAAGTTACCCAACCCAAGTAAAACCAAGCAAGCACACGACCGTATGCCTTAAGGCTTAAGGTCGAAGAAGTATACTGCCTGTGCATTTCCTAATTGAAGAATACCACTCGTACCGGTGGATAAAGCGGATGGCGCCGTGCGAGTTTGTGGAGACCAAGATTACTGCCAACCAGATTTCAAGGATAGTCAGAAATATTAGCCCGAATTGAACGCGTATGCTACACTGGCAGGTGGTAAAATGTTCGCCGAACTTGAGCACCGTCATGCATCTTCACCACTGAAGCTCGAGGAATCTTCCCGAGAACAGACTACTATCCCTAAGGACACAGCAACGTATCAACAGACCCGTTTACATTTTGGCAGCAGTTCCGCCACCAGAAATTTTCCAAAGGATTATCGATGGTTTAATAAAGGATACACCTTTTCCTTGTGCGTGGTTGGAAAATATGCTTTTCTCCAGACGCTCCGACGCAGAAAACCTATACACACTCGCTGTTGCGCGTTCAAGATGGGTACGAACGAACTTAAACGGCAATAGGCAGAGTGGGATTCCCTACTTTACCTATGTGCTATCTTGAATATATGCTTAATGCTAACAAGATAAAACACATTTCAGCTATCCCTGAATCGCGGAACCTTGATGAGCTTCGTTCCTTTCTAGGAATTCCATTTTATTGCCGCCATTTCATGCTTGATGCATCCACTAGGTTGACTTCCTTGAATGAGTTACTCCATAAAAACGTACAGTGGTGTTCGGGTCCTTGACAAAACAGTGCTTTAAACAAAGCCCGAAAACCCCTTGCATTGGCACCAATGTAAGGATCCTGGAGAGACACTAGTTTTCCAATTTGACGCATCTCCCTGGGGTGTATGTGCGGGCCTATTCCGCTGTTTGAATACACAAACCTTGTCTCTCATAGTATTCGCATCATGGCTACCGCAGCCAGCGGAAATAACCTATTCGCAGAAAGGAAAAGAAACCGTCTCCACAATCTTTTAAGTGTACAGGCTCCGTTAGTACTATGGCAGTGTTATTTTGGAGTTAATAAATAAATAAATAAATAAAGCGTTTATTCTCGGCAAGGCGAGGCACACCTTTACAGGCATGATCATTTTGACAAAACAATGCGTGATCAAGAAGTTGCAAAAATCCGATATGTTTGCCATAACAGTGCTTGTTTGTGTAGGGGGAATGTAAGTATGTAATTGTGTGTGCGTTTATGTAGCTGTGTTATTTGCGCTTGTAACTGTGCTGCTCCATTCTTGAATGTTTGCTATCGTCTGCAAGGTGCGATTGGAAGATTGGTGTCCGTGGGTTGGAAAGGATTATCCAGATATCCACGGGGCAGTGACTTTATTTTGTGGCGAGCCACGACCGCCACGTCACAGTGTTGTTAAGCAGACATTTGTGGCTTTTTATAGGGAGAACGCTTGCCAGGCGAAAACCCACCACGTCCTGGAACACTGCCGCCGAACTATTAGCTGGAACGGGTAAAACCCGAACCACCCAGCTGGCACCACGAGGAGGTTGTTCGGCTAGCCAGCCAAGACCACAAGCCATTGATATCATTGTTATGAGAGACCGGTGGTACCCCACAAATGCTTTCACCAAGCGTGCAGACTTAGGCTCTCATGTTGAGCATGTTTGCTCAAAAAACCTACGGTATTGGTGCCAGTAATCGCATGGCTCATGCTCTGAGACGTCTGTCCGTTACAGGAACGTCCCTTGTGTTTATTTCCCCCAGAGAATTGGTACTTTGGATGCAACCTCTAGGTACACTACCCATGAAGCTCCAAAAAACTGGCAGTGGACAGATCGAGACCCAGTGTTTGCAAATACCAAACGGTTCTTAACCGACTAATGACTTAACGAAATATTCACTTATTTGCAACCACTTATAGCGCGCAGTAATAAAATTAGTCGATTCCATTGTTGCGAATCCTGTGGTTCGCGGTTTGTCCATTTTAGCAAGGCAAGGGAAGGGTGTCATCAGGAGCTCCATGACATACATCTAGGTGTCCAGAGAACAGAAGCATTAGCAAGGGGATAGTGCTGGTGGCCGGGCATATATTTAGGCATCGTGAACACACATGGCATTGAAGTGCCTGTTTGGCACATCAACGCTGTAATTTCCCGGTCCAATACGTTGGTGGAGCTGTCCGAACAATCCGTGGCAACGGATCTACGCAGACTAGTTTGGTCCGATTAATACAACCATGTTGCTGGAACTCATCGACGCCCACTCCAAGTAGCTTGAGGTGTATCCCTTTACAAGGTAATGTTCAAAACCACCATTGTTAAGCTGAGTTGCTGATTCTCCACATTTGGTAGACTAGAGCACCTATGCACGGATACCGGGCTCCATTCTGTTAGCACAGAGTTCAACTGATTCATCACTATCAACGGGTGCATCATCTAGAATTAACGCCTTATCGTCCAGCGTCAAATGGGTTGACAGCGCAGGCGGTACGGACAGTAAAAGGTGGACGGTTGAAACAGCGTGTTGGGATCTACGTCGCAGGTGACGGGTCCGGAGCCATCGCCGGCGTCTACAACTGTGGAGCAAGACGCGGGTCACAGCACGCTTGTATTCAACATCCCGAAGAAGCCTTCATTTTGGTCTTCAAAGACACCTTATTCACATTTGCTGAATCGAGCCGAAAGTGCCCGTAACCTAACTTGCTGCCAGAGCTTCGTATTCGTTACCCATCCCCTATTAGGCTGAACTCAGCTAACTAGCTAACTAACGCTGCACACTGCGATAGCC